CCAACCCTCACCCGAGGGGCTGGCACGATGGCGGCAGCAGCGGCGGCAACCCAGCGCGGTCGGCGACCGACTGTCCCTTCCCCCCTACCTTCCCTCGCCACCCCCGCTGCACTCTGGGAAACGCAGTCCTCCCCGCGCTCCTTTCGGGCATAGGTACTCCCAGAGAAAACTACAGTTCCCGGCGTGCTATGCGCCGAGGCCCAGACACGGACCGCAGCGCGGGAGGTGAGGCTAAGCCAGGGAGGGCGGCTGCCGGGGCAAGCCCCTGAGAATTGTGGTCTAGCGGAAGCCTCTGGAACACCCGAAGTTGGCGCCAGGCAAGGGTCAGGGCTTGTTGTCACCAGGTCCCAGCTGGTCCGACCCCACCCAGGCCGCGCCGCTGTCTAGGGTTGGCCCCGCCTCCGTGGGATCCCAGCCGGGCCCAGCCGTCCCTCCCTGGGCCCCGCGCTGTTTCCGCTCGGGAACCCCCCTCCTCTTTGGTGCTCGGAGAGGTGCTCAAGACCAGCCAGCCCCAGGCAAAATCCGTAACTTCTGCGGGCCTACATTCGTGCGCCCTAGCCACCGCTATTCGGCCCGAAGCTGCTTTCGAGCAGGCAAGACTTTCTCCTCGGGCTGTAGACTCAAATGTTCCTCAAGTGGGGCTCGGCGGCAGACAAGATTTCTCTTAGACTTGTACAACTAAAGTCTCCAAAACATTTTTTTTGGTACAGGCAGACAACTGTTTCATTTTTATTAATGAGAAAAGAGAAGTAACTGGCTCACCCCAAATTTCCCCGTGACTTAAATGACCAGGTTGCCCTTTCCTTTCAACGCCTATTTTAGTTGTTTCCGGGGCAACGCAAACATTGAAGGCCTGCCTCTGGGTCAGGCGGGTTCGCGGAAATGCCCTACAGCGAACCAGGGCGGGAGGGGAGGAGGCGTAGGTAAGGGAATAGCTAGCTACAAGGCTTCTGCTGGCAGCTCCATGCCTTCCCTCCAGGCCAGAGATCTCCCAGTACTCCTGTTCTTCCAGAAGAGTTTTGAACCTTCACCGACCAACCCCACCCCACCCTCCTAGTGATGGCTGGTAAGACTAGGCCAAGCTTATTAAATTCCAGGTGTGTGCTACCTTGCCTCATGCTTCTTATTACTCAGCCAGTGAGAACTCTACATTGTCCTGCTTGTGGTGCATCTGGGACCTCCCTTGCTCTGAGCTGTCCTCCCAAGAAGCAAAAATACTGGGTGGATTGTGTACACATAACCTCCAGAGACCAAAGTCCTGGCCCTCACACTTTCCTGGGAGTGCTGCTGAGAAGTTCACATGAGCCAAAGCAGAAACAGTGTTCAGTCCCTTCAACCAAATGGTGCTAGAGGATCCACTACAGAGCATGGTCTGAGCCTGGGAAACCCCTCACTCCTAGTGAAAGAGGGGGGACATGTGAGAGACTGGCCAATAGCAGAAGGCAAAGGGTTTCAGTTCCAGCTGGCCATGAAGGGCACTGCTGTGCTTCCACTACCTTGTTACTAGCCAAAAACCTAGAAAGGCAGAGATCCGGTCTCTTCCCCAACCAGGCACGCACACAACCTATGCCCCACTCTGCCTCCCCACCAAAAACTTGTTTCTCAAGTCAGTGCCAAAGAGAAGGGCAGAGGCTGAGGAACATTTTAGAGTCTTTTCAGTTCGCAGCCAAAGGGAGTTTCCAGGCAAGTGGCTTTTTCCATAAGTAACAGAGAAGAGAATGACGTTTTATGGAGCTCAAGAACTATCCACTTGTGCCCAACACCCTTAGTAAACAGTGCTAGCTTTAAAGGCATTTGCTTTTCCCCACTGGATTTGAGCAAAATTACTTGGAACTATAGATACAAATGTTATCTCACCCCTACAATACCCAATCTTAAGATGGAAACAGTCATGAAAATGAATCAAGGAGTCACAAATCCCAACTCCTACTCCTTAAAGCTTGTATGGGTAATTCATACTGAGAGCACCAAGGCGAAAGGTATTTGTACAAGAGTCCTTGTGCCCTGTGCAGGCGCCACGGCTGGTTCCGACTGTGGTCTGCACTGATTGAGTAATTGAATGTCTGTGTGTGTTAGACACTGTAGTAGGCCTAAGGGCTATAATGGGCAAAATTCAACCCTAGCTGATAACCTGGGAATTCAAAACCCTCGGAGAAGTAGACTGTCACAATTCAGCTTAGTTCTCAGTTGCTCCTTCTCCCTGTTAAAAGAACACAGGCTGCTCACCCATGGACAATCTGGGACCATTTTGTGCAAGTTTCCAAACCTGGAGCTGAGCCAGGAAGTCTGTGAGGACCTTAAGGGGCCGGGGTCCATGTGTTTAGGACTCCTTTATGGAGAGACCATCTCTGCTCCCAAGGTCAGCCTGGTCCTTGAGACCAGGCCTCAGCCTATTTCTCCCATGTTTCAGGGCCACTTAGCTGAATCCTTATAAAAATAAAAGGGCGAAATCCAAATAAAAACCTTACCTTCTGTTTAATTCATTTTGCCAAACAAACACAGTGAAAACTTTAGTCTGACTAAATGTACAGAAAATAGAATTTGTAACCAGTAGCAAACATAACAAGATAAACCTAAGTCCCTGGCAAGCTGGGTCTCCATCAGCATGTCACCTAGATCCCCTTGTAGATGGCCTCCTGGAGAGGGAGGTCCTAGGAGGCAGAAGCACAGATCTGCCAGTTCCCATCAGAATCACAGGCTGCACCTGGGAAAGAAAAGCATGAAGAGGAGAACGGATGTCACTTGGCTCCCTTATCACTACACACAAGAGTGAGTTGTCTCTGATTGCTGGCAAACCACAAGGTGTTGTCTTCCCAAACCCATAGTCCTTGGGCATCCCACCCGCATCCCTACGGGGTAAGGATTTCAAGTTCAGTGGTTCCTAAGCCTCTGCTTAACCAGAACCCACAACATGAACTGGAGATAGGGATGTGGGGGAGACAAAGTCATTAATTGCTTGGACCAGAGCAGAGTCCAAGGTCCCAGACTTCAAGAGGAAACAAGAGGGTGTCAGGTCACCAGCAACAGCCCAGCTGCCCTAAGCCTCAGTACAGTCAACCAGTGTCCCAGGAGTATAGGCGAGTTCGCAATGGCGGCCTGCAGGCCTCCTGGGCTGGCAGGGCCCGGGGAGTCCCAGGGGAACCCGTTCACATCCCGTGCTTCTTGCGGATGACAGACATGGCCAGCAGCCGATCCTTCTCTCGGAGCTCTTCGCGCAGCTTGGCCTCGGTGAGACGCAGGTGGCGGATGCTGCCCTTCATCTCCTTCATCTTCACCTCCATCAGCGCCAGGATGTCCCGCTGCTCGTTCAGCTTGCGCAGGAGCTCCTCCTCCGTGGTGCCTGACGACAACGAGTACGAGTGGTCGGAGCCAGTATCAGGGAAGCCCTCTTCCCCTACTACCACCAACTGGGGGCCCATCGGACACTCGGCAGCCTCCAGCCCGGCGGTGGCAGCCTCTAGCTCCGACGCGGCAGCTGCGGCGGCTGCGCCCTCTGCGGCCGCGAACTCCACTTGCACCGTCAGATCGATGGGTTTCACATCATCTCCGGTGGGAGCAGTGGGTGCCTGCTGCACGGATCCAGGAGCCTGGCTGCTGTCCACAGCCGCCTGAAGAGTGAGGAGCACAGCCGCAGAAGCAGACACCAGGTTCGGCTGCAGCTGGGCGGTCTGGGCAGTCGAGGCTGACGGCGGCGGCGGATGCTGCAGTTGCTGCTGCTGCTGCTGTTGCTGCTGCTGCTGCTGCTGCTGCTGCTGCTGCTGCTGCTGCTGAGACTGTGGCTGACTGGGAGGTGGTGGATGGTGGGGCGCGCACCGTGTAGGTCTTGCGGCCGCCCTGGAAGTGGACGCTGCAGAGACGGTGACCCGTGGTGGGCTGGAAGGTGGAGAAGCATCCACTGACGCCGGCACGAGACACGTTCTTGAGCCAGAGGCGCCGCAGCTCAGCGTCCTTGGGAAACGTGTAGAAATGGAGAGCCTTGTCCCGATGCGAGTTGTTGTAGCAGCCCGGCACGCAACACGTAAAGCCTGGCATGGCTGCGCCGCGCGGCCCGGCCCACCGGCCTCCTGAACTCCCACAATGCACCGCGCCAGAAACCTCTTACTTCCGGGGCGGGGTGTGCTTATTCCGGCCGCTTTTCAGGGAACCGCCACGGCCCCGTCTTTCCAGAGCTGGATCAATCAGAGTGGACTAAAGAGGTGTATTCTGTTGGAACGCTGTCGCCTGGATCTCTCTTTTAAAAAACACGAAACCCTCATGGGGGGTCGGACGGCGCGCGCTGTTCCCATGCGCAAGCGCTTTGGGCATATATCCCCCCAAACTACAAGTTCCACAATGCCTTGCTTGAACTCGGCG